TGTGTGTGTGTGTGTGTGTGTGTGTGTGTGTGTGTGTGTGTGTGTGTTCAGAGTGATCTTATTGCATTTGTTAATGACCAGAGAGATTTCCGAAGCCAAGTCCCCAAAGAAAGGAATCCAAATGAGTAAAACAGTTGCTGCTGCTGCTCGGTGGCTCTTTGGGAATCAAACCGTGGCCGGCGTCACTGCCTTAGGCGTCCTCAGGTTGTAGGACTCCCCCCGGTGGGCTCCACGCTCTTGCGGTCGCGCGGGGCTGGGAGGTTATTACTTGGACTGTTAAGCTAAGCCCGCTGCAACAGGCTCTGGGAATTTGAAGACACTTCAAATAATGCTGCTCTTTCTTTTTTGAAGAAGACTAGTGTAAGCGTAAATCTGTCCTAAAAGCCGTCAGGAGTGGGGGCAGATTCTCTATTCCTGCAGAACTGGAAAGTTCTCGAAGAGTCGCTCGCCAGGCTGAGTGGCAAACTATGGATGCGAGGGGGCAGGGGTTGCACACGTTGGTTTGGTCTTGGCTTCCGGACCGACTTATGGCCACCTTGTCTTCGCACTTACAAACCTGGAACACTAACAGTGCCGCCTCCGACCAGCTACCCTCGCAGTTCGGTCTCTTGGGTCGTCAGAGAAAATCTTGCATCCCGTGTTAGGATGTGGCCTGCCAGACTCGATGGTCCCCTTGCCTTCCCCACTCCTGGCTAAGACCCTTGACAATGAATCTTAGTCCTTCCCTGGGATCTCACGAGAGTGTCCTCAGACAGGCTTCCAGGTGCCTATTCTCAATCTTGTTGAGCCAGGTTTGCTCTTTGAGGAAGTCCACGTTCTGCTCTCCCCGTATGGGGTGGTCCTTGGGAGTTTGGTGCACAGATTTCTCTTCTATGCCTGTCTTCTAGGTCAGTCACAAATGCATCACGAGGAAATCTGAGATTGAGAGAGGCTTGGAGTTGAGATGGCCACTGGAATCAAGCGGAGACACCTGCAATGTTGGCTCCACTGGAGCCCAGCGCTGCACCCAGAAACGCAGGCCAAGGAGCAACAGCTAGATCAGAGTTCTTCTCGGCCCTCCCTAGGTGGGCAGTTCAAACCCACAGGTGTTTGCCCCCTCTGATGCATGCTGCTTCGCTTCCTAAGGAGTCTCTCTTCGAACACCAGGCCTCCTTTTTTTTTTTTTCCTCTTGGTAAGGAAAGTAAACATCTTGTTTATATTTCCATAGTGGTCAGGCCCTAATTATGCATGATTCCAGCAACATGACTGCTTCAGCCGGAAGGCGCCGGCCTCGAAAGACTCCTGGAACTTCACATAGTTGTTTTTTTTTTTTTTTTTTTTTCTTTTTTCTTTTTAAGTATAAAGCGTTTGTGGAGGGTCAGAAACAGACAAGCTGAAGGTTAAAAGGGGGACAGCCAGGATTCCGCATTTGGGGGAGGAAAAAAAAAAGAGGCCTTGGTGATACTTGCGGCCGGCCGAGACCTGAGAAGCCGAGCTTGTCACTGCTACTGCGAACGAACCTCAGCCTCAAGGGCACTGCCCTAGGTCCAAGTCTGGTTAGTACCACCATTCAACTAGGACCCAGTAAAATCTCCTAAGCCTGCAAGACAGAAGAGAGCGAGGAAAGGAACCGGGCAACCGAACATGGAAAACATCTTTTTGGTCACGTGAACTTTATTGCAGCTCAGGAAGTTATCTAACAGCTGCCAAAACTTCTGACTCCACTGCTCCAAAAGCTTGACTGTTTCTCACACCTCAGCACCCTGTGTGGAGCCTGCCGACTCGACTAGGAGATATTCAGATTTCCTATTCTCCTTTCACCTTCTTCCCACACCTGGCTGGTTGCATTTGGAGATGATTTTCTTTTCTTCAATTCACGAGACATGTGGCTCCCATGCTTACCTGGGCTGTACTTTCCCAATCCATCCTCCATGAGGGGAACTCCAAAGCGTCTCCTGCAGAGAGAAAGCCAGGTTGAGGAAGGGTCAGAAAAAGAAAGCCAGGCATACTGTATATATTTTCTGTGTGCCTTTGATTCATTGCAGAAAAAGTTCCACGGGGGGTGGGGGGGAATGATTTTAATGGTTACCCTCTCATTGTTCCACTAACTCACTAATTCTCAGGCCTGTGGGAACCTGACCTTGTTTCCTTAAAAGGCCTGCCAAAGATCTGAGCACAGTGGGCTACAGCACTGATCCTGGTTGACAGATGGGAGTTCTGAGGGAGAAGGGGCAGTTGAGGGATCAGAAGCGAAGGCCCACAAGCGCTCATCAGTTTCAGTTCATTTCATGGTCTCATAAGAGATTGAGATAGGGGCTGGGGAGATGGCTCAGTGGTTGAGAGCACTGTCTGCTCTTCCAGAGATCCTGAGTTCAATTCCCAGCAACCACATGGTGGCTCACAACCATCTATAATGTGATCTGATGCCCGCTTCTGGAATGTCTGTGCACCTGCAGATAGAGCATTCATATACCTAAAAGAAATAAAGAAAAAGAATTTTTTAAAAAAAGAGAGATTGAGGTAATCTCGGGAGGACCTTCTCTCACTTTCTACCAGATGCCTCCCTAAAAGGCTGATACCCAGTTCCTCCTGAGTAGGAGGAAGGTCTGGAAGGACCTTGCTCTGGCTGACGGGTTTAACTGGCAGGACATTACTGCCAGTTGTGTGTATTTCCTGACCCCAAAAGTTCAGACTGAGCAGGGCCAATGGGCCCAGGTCCAAGCATAATCCAGATGTCTAGGAACAGGGACCTCTCCAGAGGCCTGTGTGTAGAAAGCCCATTCATCTTGGGCCCAGTGCATTTACTCTGTGGAAACAGTCCCTGAAGTGCCCCAGCGAGGAAGGGAGCAGCTACCGGAAGGCTGAGGCAGTGCCCTAGCTGCACAGCTCTCTCCCTGCAGGAGATGTCTAAGAGCATAAAGTGCTAGAGTGCTGGAGCGTCTTGTAAATTAAAGGACAATCTGGGACAGCATTGTGCCAAAGTGGTTGCCAAGCCCTCTGAAAGCAAATACCTTCGCTACTGTTTGATAACCCAGCCACAGCTCTGATGCTAAGCAGAGTGGCGCACACAGCCCGGAAGTGCTTGCTGAGACCCGGAAGCACCTGGAGTTGGCCGCCCTGCTCTCTAGGAACCCTTGGCTACCACAGTGTGTAGGTGTAGCGGTTTGTAATCCCCGTCCTGCTCCTGTCCCACCCACCCCTGGAATCTGCCCTGGCTGTTTGAGGGAAGGGAAAAGGCAGGTCCCTGGAGCAACCAACCGCGAGTGGAATTAGTCCTTCGTTTTAATTAAGCTGCTTCTCTGCCCTGAAAGGAAGAATTTATAACAGGGGCCCGATAACTGAAAATCTCACGATAGATTATAGAGCAAATGAACTAAAGATCTTCGGGTGAGATTTACAATTCCACACTGAATAAAACGTCCCCTGTACTCCCTCCCTCTGTGTCCCTCTCTGCAGGACGCTCCCAGGGATCCCGGGTGGGCGTGAGACTTGGGCGCACAGAGGCTGGGGCGCATCTAGCTGCTTGCCGGGGAGCCGGGTTCGCGGGGCCCCTGATGGGCCCTTTGACCCGCCGCCGACGTGCCATTGTAAGAAAAATGTTTCAGATCCAACCTGAGCTGCTTTCCGTAGCACAGGAAACATCTGGGAAGTTTTCTCCCAGCGTTTGGGAAAGTACTTACTTTCGAAGTTGGCTAAGGTGTTCTAGGACCCAGACAAACCCGAGTCCGGAGATGGGGCTCTGAGGTTGGCAGCCCTGCCAGCTGCTTGGGTGCAAACTGGGGATCTAGCTGGTGGCAGGCACTTGGGTGAAGGACGAATTAAACACTTAGTCCCGCGTCTGCGCCTTCTGGCCTCATTGTTTTAACGTCTGTACTACTTAGCCACAGTTTGAGAAAGAATAATGCCTTTACATTCAGAAAAACTTCAAAGACCCGGGCTTGCTCAATATGGCCCGCACATGGTAGTCTCCGAAGGCCTTGTCTGCCAAAACATGTTTCTCAGTATTTTTCTCTTTTCTTCCGATCTCCCACCCCCCACTTTTTTTTTTCCTCCCCAGATGGGAGGGAACCGCAGGCTCAGGTTACCTAGGGCGTTTTGCCTTCACAGAGGCAGTTAGGGCTATTCCATTGCATTTTGGGAACAAAATCTCAACTAGGAAAGGATTTTGAGGACTGGCTAGCTCTCCAGACAGGAGGAGAGGCTGGAAACTTGACCAGGACCCAGAAGGGACTGTATCAGAGTAGGTGCATCATCAGATTTATAGATGTTGAAACACAATGTCCTTTCCTGCAGATGCACATCTTTCTGTTACTAACCACTGTTTAAAATGAGGCCAAGATAATCGGGCTGTGTCTTTACCGTAGCACATGGTTCTCAGTGTAGAAAGTATTTCCTATTTATCGAACTATCGGTATTGAACCAACTGAAGGCAACCATCCACTTTTTAATTTTGGGAATAAGCAATATCCATTCAAAACGTTTAAACTGCTATGATCTAGACAACTATCCATCCTTCCTTCCTTCCTTCCTTCCTTCCTTCCTTCCTTCCTTCCTTCC